TTGGAAAATTACGACAAGTACATTTGCTATTACTCCCGCCATCTCTTTTAGTACCCTGGGATATATTCCATCAGGGCCAGGAGACTTGTCTACCTTTAGCTCCATTAGTTTGCCCAACACTACCTCTTCTGTGATAATGAAACTGAATGTTTTAATAAATAAAGACATCGCCTCTGCATTTAGGCTTTCAAAGACTTCTGAAGAATCAATGTGGGCTTCAGGCTGCATTGAAAGGTTCAGAAACTAATCAATAAAAACAACCTTCTTTTCTAAGTAAGGATAGCATGATTGTTTTCAATGTTCACCTTTACCACAAGAAAAAAAAACACTAGTTTACCGCACCTACTGGTTTTATTCCCTCATGCTGCCTTGTCCCTCACTAACTCTCTGCTGGTGACACAAACAATAAGATATTTTTGAGGTCCAGGGTGGTATTTGAAATGTATAGCTGGGCTACCCGTCGCTTGCAATCAGTAAGGATATTTCTACAATATTCCCATACAGTCAGATCCTATACTTGGCTGAAGGGAGGAGAAAGGGAGGCCCATCACTTACATGAAAAGGGATTAGCTCTCATACACTGTCAACTGAGTGTGTATATGTGCATGCTCTAGTTGAGATTAAGACCAGCTGATACTAGCTAAAGAAAGGTCAGAACACACACAAAGGAAACAATTTCTACTGGGTAGGGCTGGTTTTTGGAAAGTAAAGTAGTTTGTACTTATGCTGTACTAGATATTGTGATTAAACGCCCATGGAAGACAGACCAGAGCTCAGGGTGGCACAGTGGCTCACTGCTGCCTCACAGGGCGAGGGACACAGGTTTGAATCCACCCTCAGGTGATTGTCTGTATAGAGTTTGCACGTAGTCCCCGCGTCTGCATGGGTTTCCTCCGGCAGCTCCAGTTTGCTCCCACGGTCCAAAGATGTGTAGGTTAGGTGGATTGGCCATGCTAAATTGCCCTATAATGTCCAGGGATGTGCAGGCTGGGTTGGTCAGCCATGGGAAATACAGGGTGATTAGGGTAGAGGGAGGGATTTGGGTGGGATGCTTTTTGGCCGGGTGGTGTGGACTCAATGGGCTGAATGGCCTGCTTCCAGACTGTAGAGATTCTGTTCTATGATTACACTTTCCTTTCTCAGACAAACATGTACCACATCAACTGAGTATGACATCTCTTAGCCTGAACCGGAATAAGCCTCCATTTATTTAACCTGACCAATCTCAGCACCAACCACTAATCATCATAAACTATGGGACAAGATTACGACATGGAATGAATTCAGTCATTTACAGAGCAATTTCATCATCCTTCAAATACCTTGGAGGACTTTGTATTCAATCGATTACCTTCAAGTTCAGGGACTCTGACACTCTGGATGTTGGGTTTGATAGAGTGCAGACGGAAAAATACTTCCTCCTCTGAGAAACAGCATAGCTAGAAGCTATCAATTTAAGACAGTATTGAGAAAACCACAGGGAATTCAGAGGAAAATTCTTCTCTCAAAGAGTGGTGAGAACGTACAGCTTGCTGCCACAGGGAGTGGTTCCCGAGATCGATATAGATTGACGAT